AGACCTAGGAACACCAACTATCTCATAGGTAAGAAATCTTTTTTATTGGCATGGTAAAGTCTCAAATGGAAATCTTTATAAAACTAAACCTTTGAAAATGTTTTCCAATCTCTTAATCTTTCATGTATTTTAGAAAGGAAAATAGTGTAATAGTTATTAATTTATTGTCATCTGACCATTTGGGATTCTAAATGTCAATAACTAGGTCACTCTTCTGGCTGAGTGATTCTGATTATCAAGGGGAGATTGGGTTGGAGAACCACATCTGGACCTCAGGGATCCTGGGGAGTACCCCTAATGCTTCCATACTCAGTAGTAAAGGTTAATAGAAAACATCAACAACCCAAAAGAGGCAGGATAGGTGGGAACTCAAACCTTTCTGGATGAAGGTTTGAGCCAATCCACCAGGTAAAGAACTTCCAGCTTCTAAGGTTCTTCTTAAGTACAGGGGAAATACTGAATGGAGAGCAGAAGAAGGAGGCCATAGAAACCATACTTATAGCCTTGTTACTGATTGCAGAGAGGAGGGATATAGTAGCTTTTAATATTTTTCCATTTTCTTGTTATATGTATGTATTTATTTTATTTTCTATTTTCTCTTTCTTTCCATTTTTATTTTATCTTATATACAAATTGTTGGAAGTTAACTTTAGTATCTTGGAAACAGAATATTCAGTCAAACTGTGATTGGATTTGAAAAAATTAATGTATCCAGTAATGGATACAGCAATTATTGGGATTTGCATTTCCTTATACTGACAAGAGAGTAAAAACACCTTGTAAAATGAATAACTATTTCATATTAAGTGGGAATGCAGAGTTGTTTTGTTGGTGTGTAGGAATTCAAGTGGATATAGAATAATGCACATAGGAGCCAAGTAACCAAGGGTGCAGACTGCAACAGCTATCGATTTATTGCCTTCTAGCTCTAAATTTATCCTTCATTGCCTGTTCTACGAAAGTGTATATGGGCCCTTTAAATCTTTTTTTCTTTGCCTGCTAGTTGAATGTTAAGCATTTTCAGTAGAGGGCGCAGGAGGGACACTGCAGATAAGGAGTTGTCTATTCTAGTCCCAGTGTGTTTGTTCTGCAGCCAACTCTGCAGTCTAAGTACAATGAAAGGCTTATCTAGGACCTGCTCCCCAGCACCTACAGCTTGTACAATGCTCTGTTTCTGCAGCACAAGGGGCTGCTCCAGCACCAAGATCTTGAAGCATGGGCAGCTTCTTTAGCATCCCAATCCTGCAGTGCACTGGCCAGCAGCAACCATCAGCCAACACCTGCCCTCCCTATCCCCCTGCCTTTTTTTTAAACAGAGTTCTTCTGGTGAGATACCACTCCATGAAGAGCTTTCTCGGGTATCCTTTAGGACAGATTTCCAGCAAGTTCTGTTAGAGCAGTACCACAGCAACCTCCCTGCCAGTGAGCTGTGGCTGTGCCCTTTCCAGTGAGGTCTAGCCCACATATCTCTGGGACTTCCTTTCTGGACAATCCATCTACACTGTAAGGGTAATGACTATTCCTTATATCTACTATTTCTGAGCTTTATAGCTCAATCTACCTCATCATTCAATCCCTCATCATTACAACCACAGTTAATAATTCTTTTTATCAAACTTTCTCTTTTCAATTCCCTGTGCGTCCTAATAGCAACGGGCACACCCAGCACCCAGATCTTGGTTTGCAAATACCATTCTCCAATAGAAAGAACCAGGGCTTCTTTCAGAAATGGCCCATTCCAAGGCTAAGACAGGAAAAAATACACCAGGGGCTTGGAGTATCTTATAGTAACAGAAAGAAATGCAGTGCTCAAATTCACAAGAACAGGCATGTCCAAAGGACACAACGGCCAAGGCTGAAACTATTCAAACAACAAAATAAATAATGTGATATTGTCATATAACCCAATGTACATGAGTCCAAACTGATATAAATTATTAAGTAAATGAAGGAAAAGAAACATGTCTTTTTTTAAAAAAGAATTCCAAACACTATATGTAGATGCTCCTTCCTCAATAAATGGATAGATTATGTGGCTTGCTTTCACAGAATAGCATAGGAAAGGGGGAAAATTCTATGTTTAGATGGAGAAATCTGGCCGTCACAACTTCATCAAGCAGTGAAGACTAACCAGGTGATGGCATCATGGGTGAATCTCCTGTGACTCTCCTGATTTCATGTGATGAGAAAGACATTTCAACTCTGCACTGTTTTCTTTTCTTTTTTTTTTTTTTTTTGAGAGAGAGAGTTTTTTAATATTTATTTTTTAGTTTTCGGTGGACACAACATCTTTGTTTGTATGTAGTGCTAAGGATCGAACCTGGGCCGCATGCATGCCAGGTAAGCATGCTACCGCTTGAGCCACATCCCCAGCCCTCTGCACTGTTCTTTTCAAAATTCATCACCCTCATCATGAAAAATACCAGACAAGCACAGACTGGGGTCCTGTGCAGTCCTCCTCCACACTATCAAGGCCATGAAAAACAAGGGAAGATTGAGAAACGGTCACAGAGAGAGGATACTGGGGAGATGTGAACATGGCATGGGGCTCTGGGTCAGAATCTGGAACAGAAAGAGGACATTTGTGGAAAAACTGATGAGATCCCAACAACTTCTGGAACTTATTTACTACCAATGTGCTAATGTCAGTTTCTCGATTTTTATAAACTGATGGTAATTTAAGAAGTTAACGATAGAGGACATTGGATATGGAGATACAGAAACTTTCTGTACTATCTTTGCAACAATTCTGTAAATCTAAAATTGTTTCAAAATAAAAACTTTACTCAAAAAAAAAATGACTGTGGTTTCTGTCTCCTGATTGAACCTTACCAGGTATCAAGAGTCCATCTAATTATAAAAGCAGTCATTTTATGAATCTAACATACATCATCAAAGTTATGCAGAGGAGTAACCATAGAGAAGGAAAAAATGGAAATAGAATCATTGGAAATTAGGCAGTTTTAATTCTGATATATAATAGATGACTAGAACATACATTTTGTTTCCAGAGTTACCTGGCCAAGAGTAAACAACTCAGCACAGTTTTTGAGATAGGGGTAACTGCCACAGACAATCCAAGTAACAAAATCCAGGTAACAACACCCAGTATAGCACTTTCTTGTGCTTAAGAAAGGTGTTAGAAATGATTTTTCTCTGAACATCTTTAAAGACTTTAGACATCTGTTAATGCTTATTTATGCTTTTGTTCATTATAAACTCAAAACACTAGTTGTAGAGAATGCATTACAAGTAGTATTAATTACCATTTTCCAGTACTGAAAGAGCATATGTTCTCAGAGTTCTGGAGTCTTCATTCAAAAGTCAGTAAACTCTAAAACAAAGCAATGATTTTTTTTTTTAACTAGAGGGCCCAAATCAGTTCTATAGTCCAAAACCAATGTAGGCTTTTGTTTTGCACACAAACACTATTCAGTCTGATCTATTAGCTTGAGGTAGGCTACAGTTTTTAGCAAAGTATGAGTAGAACTGAAATTATTCCACAGCATTCTTTGCCCTGGAAGTAGTAGCAAACCTCACTTTTCAAAGATAGAATACATCCACTCTCTCCTTTCCCACTGGTTTATAATAATGTTATTTTTCTCTAAAACGTCTGGGCTCGACTGATTTTTAAGTTGGAAAAGTTAATGAAAGCAATATTGCATTTGAGGTCAGTCGGCCAGAAAGATGGACATGAGCCAAATCCCACATCCCAAACATTCTGCCTCAATGGCATGTGAACAAAATGCCCACTCTCCTCCTGCTTCCCAACAGAAGCAAAACAAAGCCCTGCAAGACAGTTACCCACTGGAATTGAGATGCCTGTCAGGAGCAGAAAGACACACACACACACACACACACACACACACTCCCTGTACAATAGCAGGGCTCTTTCACACCAAGAGTTCTGTGCACAGGCAGCACAAGGGCTTCCCCTGGAGATGCTGCTTCAGAGAAAGCCAAGAGATCACAAGTTCAAAACCAGCAGGCCCAACAAGGTCAAGAGTAGATTCCCATACTCCACAGTAAGCAACTAAAATTCTTAAAACCAGTTTATCTGGAGAGCTTAAAGTCCTTTCAGACTAATCTCAGAAAATCATTTAGTAGCAATGAAGAAAAATTTGTGCTATCACAGGAACATGCTAATTTTAAAAAACTATTATTTCCTTTTTATATATGTAATGTTCTGTGTACTACAGCTTAGTTGCACTTCAATTTCCTCTTACATTTTTCAAGGCCAAAAAGGAAGAGCAGGAAGTGGACACAATTAAGTGGGCAGAATGAGTTAGCCAGAAGACTTAAATTTTAACTATGAAATTTAGAAAAACAACTGTATTCCATGACATTCCATTATTTAATCTGCACAACAATGAATATAGGATTTTAGATATAGCCTGCCCATATCATTTTAGAGTTACAACTCCAGCATAATGAAGACACATTGTACACTATGTTATGATTTCATTTAGCAAGTATCAAAACATTCTCGAATTTTCATATATTACAAATTTATCTCCCCCAAATTAACTGGACATACGCTCATTATTTCCATCTCAAAATTCAAAGACAAATTGATATATTACTATTACAAACTTTAACTTCTAAGTTAAAACCAATGGGTGATAAATTTTAATCACTAAGAAAGCATCTTAGATAAACCAAGTTAAAAACAAAAGTTAAGAGTATTATCCAACTGCCTTAAAGTAAAGAATATAAATTTTGGACCTACTCTAGAAAACACACTAATACTCATGAAAATATGAGTATCAGATCGTTAAAATCTCCTTTATACATACTTTTCTTTATACCTAATTAACAACAGTTCTGTATGTAATACATGAACATGTTTAAAAGGAACTCATTTGAATGAATTGGATTTGGAATCTACACCATGCTCTGTTTGGGATGAAGAGGGAAACTGTAGCTCTGGGTAATCTGCAGACAAGGGGCTCATACAGCAAAAACATCCCCAAGACAGACAACAGCAGGTGGAAACTTACCACTGGAGCAGTTGGTCCCACCCCAGCCAGGCTCGCACTGACAGGTGTTTGGAGCAATGCAGCGCCCATGGACACATTTATCAGCACAGTGAGCTGTCAGAGAGAAAATCAATCAAATAAAGAAAGTTGGCACAAGAAAAAAAAAAAGCCAACAACACAGCTGTTGCACATCCTAGGCTCAAGTGTCACTTAAAAACAACATGCATGCTTGATAATTTTCTTCAATCCATTCCTCAGTCCTCTTACAGTCCACTGGTACAACTAAACAATTTCCCTTCTTATTTTGATATCTCCAAATAAATTCCTCCAGTTCTACTTGCTTAATTCTACTTCATGCTAAATTAGGAAAGAAGTTTCAAGGGAAATTGCCTAATCCACTTTTTAAAAAAAAAAGAAAATTTATAAAAGACCACCAAATGTATCCTGTTTGGGGAGGAGAGTATGTGGAGAAACAAACCAAAAAGCAAAACACCAGGACCACAGCAGCACAGCAGACCAAGAGGTGATTGCCTCCACAAAGCATTCACCACAAACAAGTCACCTTTCTTTGTGAAGACCCTGTTCACAACTCTGACATGGCAGAATTGCAAAGTCTTTATCTGTTAAGGAAAATACTTGACAAATGTCATCTGGGTCTTCAGAAAATATTAAATCTCAATTCTCTTCTATAAGTGACTGTCTCAGCCATGACCCAGCACTTGGAGACAAGGGGACACCACTGCAAACACGAGTAAATGGTCTGAAGACTACTTTCCAAAAGCAGAATTCAGCTGAATGACAGGAAAGGGATCAAAATACTCTCAGTGAACACTGACATTATCTTCCACCTTGTTCCTCTCACATTGTTTAGACACCATCCAAAATATCTAAGTAGATGAGCAATTGTGAGGGCAACTTGGAAGAGTTTGGGATTCAGGTAGTTCAAAATTTTATTTAAGGGTGGGATAAGACACCCTGGTGCTCTAGATGTGTCTCATTAATATATTCTTATTACAAAAGTAGAATAGGTTTCCTGCCCAAACATAAAATACCAATAAGTAAAATAGACCTCATCTCAGTTCCACAAACTAGTAACATTCTCATGGTTGTAGAATCCTTAGGAATTGTTTTCCCTATATATTTTTCTCCTCATAAAAAATAAAAGTAAAAAAGCTTTCAAAATGATTTTCTATTCAATAAAATACGAAAAATATTTTCATGTCATGAAATATTGTTTTATACATTTTATCCACTAGTGAATATGTAGTATACATATATAATGTGTGTGTATATATATAGTATACATATAATGTATATATATAATGATCCAAAATGATGGTCACTTCTAAAATCTTGATCTTTGACATGAAGAGATCTATAGAAAAATAATTTAGATTACCTTTAAACCAAACAGAAATTGGATGTGGTGGCTGATTTAAAAAAAAAAAAATGCCATACAAACTGAAGAACATCAAGCTAAGTGAAATAAGCCAGACTCAGAAAATCAAGGGTTGAATGCTTCCTGTCACGTACAGAAGCTAGAGAGAGAAACAGGGGAAAAAAGTAATGAAAAAAAGGGGAGCAAGGTCTCGGGATAATAGAAGGGAAACCAATAGAGTAGAGGAAAGAGGGAGGAAGAGAGGTGGGCATAGAAAAGTACTGGGGAATGAAATTTGCCAAACTATGCTATGTCCATGTACAAATATGACACAACAGATCATGCACATGTGTGCGTGTGTGTATGCATGTGTATACACACATGTATAATTATAATGCTCTAAATGACAACAACAGAAGGGAGGTCACTAGAACAGAGCAAGTGGGTGGGAGTGGGAAGAGGGGAGGAACAGGGGAAGTACTGGGGAATGAGATTAATTAAATTTTGTTATGTGCCTATAAGAATATGGCATCCAAATCTTCAAAGTGCCATCCAAATCTTCAAAGTTCAAATCTTTGTGTCTGTTTAATATAATAGTGTAGTCCTCTCTAATTAATTTTTACTAAGGGAATATTATAAAGTTAATCTCTAAGGTAAATTCATATTGGTAAAATTTTCCTTTATTTGTGTTTATATCTTGGAAATCCATACAAGATTCCATATCACCAAAAAAAATAATTCTAGCACTTGAAAATCTGAAAATCTCTGGGTTCCCATGAAGCTGGATCTGATAGGAACCACCTAGGTTTCATATGTGTTGGGGCTGGCTATGAAAGGAAGATGTTCAGAATATTCTATAGACTGGTCTCAATTTCTGCTTTCCCTTTTTTTTTCCATTTTTTCTTTATTTACCCTCTTTTTCATTTTCTACCACTCATCTTTCTCTCTCCACAAACTATTTCTTTGATCTACACAGTTATCATAGAGGCTACAGATTAAAATTTGACTTCAGTTGTAGTTGGGTTCGGTCTTAACCTCAGGGTGACCCCAAATGATTTCCCCTGCACCATGTGAAAGGTAAGATTGGGTTGAAAGGAGCGGGGTAAGAATTATTAAGGAAGATTGAGCAAGAAGGCCTAGTACTTTTGCTCCAACATCAAGATAACATTTATTAAAATGGGCAAATAAATGTATATAAATTAAGCCTATGTTCTAGAGAGTTAGGAACCAGAATTGCATATTCTTGGATCTCAAGCCATTGTTTTCTTTTGTTGTTCTTATTGTTTTAATTCTGAAAAAGGACAGTAAGTATATTTTCATATACAGAATTAAATAGACCTGCTTTGGAATGCTTTTAGATTATTGGATAATTATACAAATGTTCTTGTGTTCCTGGTAAGTGCAAACTTTGTGTTTTTATGAAAGGAATTTAAAATCCAGTCATGTACAATAAATGAAAAAAAATGATGGTATTTTTAAAATATGGATTATTTTTATAAAAAAAAAAACCTGGGTTATTTTTATGAAAACCTGGGCTAGCATTTGGGCAAAATCTGGAACACAATGTGGGTAGGTCATGAACAGAAAAGAAATTTCCTGAAAGTTACTTAGGAATTGGAAGGGAGAATCTGCTTTCCTAGTGATTTCCTTTTTCTCAATTACAGCTCAAGTCAATGGAATCACCTTTAAAAATCGAGTCCTGTAGTCAAATAATGGCCTTAATGATGGGAAAGATTGTTGGGACCCACTCTAAAAGAAATGAACACAAAATTCTACTTCTGTGATATAGTAACTTCATGCAGCATTAGACTCTGTCATTCAAGTGCCATCTCTGCCCCATTCTCTTCTTCTGCCATTTCTAAGCTATTACCAAGTCCTCACACAATGGTCAGAAGAAAAGGGAAGCAAGAAAGAAGAGAGCCATGGAACTGTATGTTCTCTGATGTCCCAACTCACCAAGCTACAGAAACACTGTGAAATATGTGATAACACTAACCCCCTTGGGACTCAGCAGAGTTAGATCCTACCCCAAGCTCATCTTTCCTTATTCAGCTTTAGATGCCAAGCTTAAGTGCTGAGCTTCCAACAGAATCCACATGGAAAATCAAAACAAGCTTCAGACACAAAATCCTGTGACATACCAAAGGGAACTAGAAAGGAACAAAGGAAACAGAGGTCCACTTTAGCAAATGTTCAAAGCTTGGCTCTCAAGCACAGGTACAAAGGACCCTCATAATTGTGTGTGTGTGTTTTTTTTTTTTTTTCATGCCTGAGAGATTCCTTATCCATGTCCTTTCTTTTAAATATTTTAAAGATGTTCTATCCAATATAATTTATTTTATCCTATCTCTCTTTAAGAAAATCACTAAATATTTTATAATAAATTTTTGGTGACTTTTTGTTTGTTTGTTTTTTGAGGCCAGATAGAAGCTGGAAGCTGAATCTCCGCCCACACTTAGTACTGTGCTGTAGACACATCAAACTGCAGGAGGCAAAGGTCTCCTCTCCCTCAAGAACTGGGAGACAACAGGCACTAATGAGAAGAGCAGGCCATGTCTTTGAAGTGAAAGCTGTGGACAGTCTGTCTGCTTGGTGGACAGGTGAGGACTGACATGATGACCCTGGAATCTTCTCTAATTAGGCTCCTGTTTCAGCCTTAGTTCCTAAATCCATCTAAATCCCATTACCAATGCCACGAACCTCATTGTTTCACTTGTAAATACTTGGCTTTAATACCGAAAGCCATTAACTATAGTCAATTGTTTTTTCCTCACCACATATATTTTTCTTTGGATTTACACCTAGGAATGGAATATATGTGAAAGGAAGAGTGAGCAGAATAAAAAACTCCTTTAAAACCCAATTATATCTCTAAAGAAAATACAAGCCATTGTCCTAAAGGATATAATGTAATAAATCCATTTACATTAATTTGGAAAATGTTTCTAAGGTTAAAGTATCTCCTGAAAGTCACTATCTAATAGACACAACCTTCCAGCTAATCTATCTTTTCTGAATAAAGAGGATGAGTCACAAATCTTATTTTTTGAATTTATTCAATGAGTTGCTATAAAAGAACATAAATTTTTAGAATTAAAAGTAACTTTACTGAATACCATCCTTGTATTTTTCAGGGAAAGTGAATAATTTCATCAATATTTGTAGCTAGGGTTTAAAAAAGAAGTAGGATTAAACCTGGATCTCTAATTTTGGGGAGTCCAAAACATTATGATGGTTTTAATGGTAGTGGGAGGGGAGCATGGGTAAAAAGATGGTAGAAGGTGTGTTGGACCAGCTACTAAGACAGGTGTACCACAAGGCTAGGAACCAAGAGTCAGAAGATTCAAAGGAAGAAAAGTGAGAAAGCAAAGAAAGTGGACTTCCAAGGTAAACTTCATGCCCTCACACTTCTGTCAGAGGTCAATTATATGCAAAGTCTTTACATAATTTCATTGGTACTATAAGGTTCAGCACAGACAGGAGTCATCTGTTTTCATATTTTCAAACATAATATTATAGACTACACTATTGTATTTGTAAAAAGGGATGGGGATTCTTTTTCTTCTGCTTAACATTTACTGACGTACCAGGCACATTGCTAAGCTCTGCTGTGGATACAAAGATGGCAGATTAGAAACTCTTAGTCTGCAGAGGAAATCAAAAGCAGGATCACCAAATCCAACAAACACAATGCATGATGCAGGGGTAATAACAGAGATATGAGCAAAATAATGTG